TTTTATGTAGAAAATATTTTGGATTGATTTTTGAAAATATAGAAAGTCAAGAGACAGAACTACATTTCTTGTGAAGACCTTGAATGCTTTCGAGCAAGTTAAAGGAATGAAAGCTGGTCAAACTTAAACAATAAATCTACTTCCAAGTCTACTACTAAAATAAAATAGCTCAGTGCTGCCAACAAATATTTTTAAGAATTTCTCTTAGATTACTTTGAGACTAAATTAAGTACTTTATGTGAAATTCGTGGAATATGGAACTCTTATTTGTGCCTTGAGATAACTTGAAAATTTTGAGAAGTTGTGAAATGTTGAAGCCACTTTTATGCCTTCAAATGTCAATTCATTCATGCTTTTAACTTTAACGAGAAAGAGAATAACTTTATCATATTTAGCCTTAAGGTGTCGTGTTCTGTCTGTATGTCCGACCCTCGAACTATGCTTTATTCTATATAAGCACATGGTAGTATAGTTTTGATATGTATGTGATTGGTGGTCGGTGGGCCGAGTAAACAGTTTTTCCTACTAGCGGTACCGGCGTCACTAGTAGAAGTGGTTGATGTCGAGTACTTACTAGCGGGACCGATTGATGCCGATGGAACTAATAGTAACCATATCAACAATTCATGATCTTAGGGGGTTGAACTTCGTTTCTCTATTTTTTTTAGCACTTAATCAAATAATGTTATCCAATCACGCTTTCCAATGTCAATAATTTATCACACATTTGCTATCCTTCCATCCTTTTGCCTATAAATATACCAACATTTTTACAATTTTCTTGTACAAAAAAAGTTAGCAACTGATTTGTTTTCTTACAAAAATAAATCACAATAATAGGGAAAAATTTCAAAATTTTCATAACCTTTCAGATGAAATTCGATTCTCTCAAAATTCACTAACTCCTTTAAATATACTATTTTCGCAACCTTCTTATGCTGCAAATTTTTCCTACAATTCCTATCAAATTTTCTTTTAATGCAACAAACTCTCAACATTATCCAATCTCCCCCAAATTTTGAATATTCTTCTCGTGCAGACTTAGTTGAGTATATTTCGACTTATCTTTATATCAACTAATTTTTTTTTTCATTCTACTATTTTTAATTTGTAATTTTAATTTAATTTTTTTATCTAACAATGTTATTTGTATTTTCCTGTATTCAAAATTAAGTATTCTAATTTAAAAAAAAAAACACATTCATTTATTTTTATTAAGAATAGAATATAAAAATAATATTGAATGAGTGTAGTAGGTCCCACATGTTTGTATTTATATGAAAATAATGTGGATATGATGTGAATGAGATATTGTAAATTGTGACTAAATGAATGAGAACGAGTGTGAATTCAAAAACTATATTTGTTTTTTTTACTTTTTATCATCTACAAAATTAAAATCATATCTTTATATATATATATATA